CAGAGTTCACGTATCAAACAATAAATATAAAAAGTGAAAAAAAAGTAACAAAAACAGTGACGTTTATATTTCTCGTGTGAATATAGCTTATACTAATTTAATTGCTATTTGATCGAAAGATGCGGCTGATGAATCTTGACCGTTTGATGAAAAAATGGGATCTCAATGGATAAAATTATGGATAACAGAAACAAAACATATTTTACCCTTAAAATAATAAATTTTTTGTCCCTTTATATATAGTCGTTATCTTTCTGCGTAGCAATTACGAATTTAGCTTCTGGGTAAAGGTGGTCCTATTATTTATTTGATTTTATTCGCCATATGATTTACTTGGATTTATCTCTTAATTCAGCAAGAACCGTCACAAATAATAGGTTTTTATTTGCTTCCTCTTCCAATTTTTTTTTTTTTTTTTAAGTATCAATCATTTCCCTAATTCCTTGAAGGAAAAAATAAAATAAGGAAAAGGCAAGATATAAATAAAGAAAACTAACAAGTATGGATTATAAAAGATTTAATCAGATGTTTAAATGTATGAGATGAATCCAGCCAACTCAGAGCAATTATTCCAGACACTAATACATATATATTTGCTGAAGAACTGAATCTTAACATCAAAGCAACCTTTATGGTTAAATATATATTTAAAAGTACAAGTGAGAAGTTATTTCTTGAGGATAGAGAAAAATCAGAATATAAGGATCTTGTCCAATTTATTCCACCTATTGGGTGTCCCATGTTTATTGACAGTACTATGATAATTTTTAGAATTCTGCAGAGGTTCTTGTTCCCATAACCAGTTTTTTTTTTTTTTTTTTTTTTTTTTCATATAATCAAGATTACCTGTGATTAAAGGTTGTTCAGTTGGAAGATTCGTATTCCGATTTGAATCATAATTCACTACAGTATTTTCTCTCTTAAAAAATACACGTAAATTAAAAATAATTATAATATCATGATTCTAATTTATGAACCAAACGTCTTCTAAAGTTTCCCAAATCCCTGCTAAAAATGTCAAGCAATATCTACGTGGCCCCATGAATCCGTTATAATTTCGTATTGGTGAGCACTCTTTTCTAAATATAATGTAAAGTAGCTATCGAAGATCCATCAGCCGAAAAAAGAAGAAAACTATAGGATAATAAATAATTAATTAATAAACCATAAAGTATCTTTCTTTAAAACGACTAGTACATTGGTAATTGGAGGAAAAATTGTAATTAAAGATGAAACTGTCTTTTCGGAGTGACGGACAACATTTTGGAGCTCTCTTATTTCACAATTCACAACAAAAGGAAATTGCTTTTTGGAGGAAAAAAAAAAAAAAGAACCATAAGGTAGCTTAACCAATATACAGTGTTGAGCCAAAAAAAAAAAATAGTAGTACGGTTACTTTCCTAATATTAAGGATTGAGATTTCTTGTACAAGTTTTAGTATTCCAAAATAATGTTTAACTAATTATATTATGGTTCGTTATGAATATAGAGTCTGTTTAGTTCGCTGATTTAAGTTTTTAATTCGAGTTGAGATGTAATTTTATGTGAAAATTTTTTATGTAACAAAAAAATTAGATACGACTGTTTTTGAGAATTTTTTTACTGTAGTAAAACTCAAATTTTAAGTTTAAATCACTGAAATGAATAAGACCATAGTATATGACATATGATTGAAGGCGAATTCGAGTACGATTTCTACTCTCTACGACGCAAAGACGAGGTACATGCCATTTATTGTTATTATTTTTTTAAGAAAGGGCCATTCAGTTTGTAATTTGAAAAATAACCCTACAGGCAAAAATTCATGGTTAGTGTACCTATCTCCGGGCCAATCCATGTTGCATGTAATATATCTTTTAGTTGTCCAAAACGGGACACTTTTTGAAAATTTTGAAAGCAAGACTTTATCTGAGTAAGGTGGATCTACTCTGGGCGCGGATAGTATTAAATTGATGATGTATTTAATGATTTCTCTAGCACAACTTTCAACTAAAAATGGTACTAAAAGAAATGCATGGATTTGATTGTTCACGAATAAAATGTTTAAAAAGCGACTAACTGGTACAGTAGTACTATAACAAATTCAACAATTACTGTCCCAATGCTAATAAATATACTTTTTATGTAGTCTAATAAATAAATTAGGTAATTTACATTATTGATAGAAAAAATACTAACCTCGTTTTTTATTTATTTTTTTATCATTTTTTATATTTATTGTTTAACACGTAGATTTAATTAATATGATATATTATTATTTAAATAAAAAATAATATAATAAAATTTACATATCAAACAATAAATATAGAAAATAGTAAAAAAAAAAAAAACACATAAATCAAGAATGGTTCAAAAATTTATGTCATTGTTCAAATCATGATTCGTGACTCGTTATAATATTTTCTCTCATAAAAAATACATGTAAATCGAGAATAATTAGCGACACTCTTGTTTAGCCAATTGGAAATGCCAAAGCCTATGAAATCGTAGGAAGCGAAGAAAGTTTTCCACGGAATTGTAATAGCCCTCGTTTTCCACGGAATTGTAATAGCCATTTGGACAAAATAAACTCTTGGAACTAAATCTAAGAGCCGTACGAGAGAGAATTTTCTTCACTCGGATCTTATTAACGAAAATCCTGGAAAACATGTTTTAGTTTGAAATTGTTTACTGTCTTACGTCAATTATATTCAAAATTGTCTGCTAGAACGACAAGAACTCAAAAATTATGTCCGAGTCAGGACTTTAACTAGTTTTAAAAAAAAAAAACTGTGTATTTATCATTTATTTATTTTTTTACCAAATGTTAAATTTATTATTTTCCAAGTAATGAATCCATTCCAGCATTGTCGTTACCCCAAAATTTTAAAAGTAAATTTGATGTAATCACTTATTTGGCCTTAACATTTTTTTTTCTTGTTTTAAAGAAAAAAAAATTTAAAAAAAAGGATGTTCGGACCCAGTATTCATATAAAGAAGAATAGCCTGCCGGACCAGATGGATATGAATTAGGTTGAACAAATGAGAAAACTTGACCCTTTGCAGCAATTTCCAACCAGAGCATTAAATAATCCAAACTAGCATTTTCAGCAATGTGTATAAAATATTTAAAATATATTTTTGTATATATGACAACTGGCATTAAATTAAAATTGACAAATTTGCGGACCCATTTTAGTCACTCCCGACCCATCACGGCATTACCCCTTACACAGCTCTGAAGCAAAAATAAATTCTGACTACTGTGTTGTGTTGGACAAATAGTAATTCACGCAGAAAATTAATACATGAAAAATATTGCTCTTCTTTTGTATTGAGAGTCAAATTCCCATTGAACTACAAATCAACAAAAATAATGGGAAAATCATGTTCTTTTGTCTAAAAAATTAAAAAAAAAAAACAACTCAAGTTTTAACTTTATTAAAGTTCACGTTATTTTAAATTTCAACTTTATTCAATTTTATTCAACTTTATTCAAGTTCTAACTTCAACTCAAGTTATAACTCAAAAACTACACTCAAGTTACACTTTAAAAGAACAACTCCAGATTTTATAATTGCTTAAGTAGACGTGATGGTATGTATTACACGAAATATCATACTTAACTCTTGTACTATATATTTTAGCAAAATAAATTAAATAAAAAACTCTTGTTCAGGTAACAAGTGTACAAGTACATTTTACATAAAATTTAGTTTTACAATCTTCTTATTGGTATTGAGATAATTGAGTTTTTCTATGGATTTAGACGTAAGTCCATCAATTGTAAATGATTTAAGAATTTTAAGGCTTTTTTGTTAAAATTTTTTAAAAAAGAAAAACTAAAGTGTCACATATATAAAAATTAAAAGGCCACGACTGCAAATTACTCAATAATTTAATAGCCAATCAGGGGAAAATAGAGAGCAGTTATTGTTGGAGTAAAAGTGGGCAACTAATTGCAAACCTAACGTGACCTATTTTCTTCTTCTTTTTTTTTATTCGAAGTGGAAAAGAAAATATATAATAAAAAAAGATATAATACGATAAGAGAAAGCACCTTGTTAATTTAAACGAGAGAAATATTGGATCCATCAATAAACATTCAATCCAACAAAGAAAATAAAATAAACAAATGTAAGAGGAAAGAAATGCACTTCTGTATTGACGGTACATGAATGTGAATGAATGAATGAACAACAAAGTAACAACAACCTTGTTAAACGACATGCGTCGGTTTCCTCAGATCTCAGGAACTTGTGACAGAAGCATACAAAAAACTGATTTTGAGGAAAAATCCAGACAAACCCATGTCCGCAAAATCCACTCGCTTCTCTTCAACCTCACCAACATAATGAGGTGAGAAACCTCCTTTTCTTCACTCCTTTTTCTTTTCTTTTCTTTTCCCTTCATCCATTTATTGCTGACTTCTCTTTTCAGTCTCTTATACGAACCTCTTCTGTTTTATCTCCTTCTTTCTTCACGTAAATTTTATTTCTTTTTCATAGAGTTTCTGCAACTTGCTCTCTTTCTCTCTTACTTTCATGCCTGGTTTAAGAGTTAAAGACGGGGTTTCAAATCGTGACACGTGTTTTTTTCTTCTCATCTTCTAGTAATCCAAGTGACCAATGATTTTTTTTTTTTTTTTCGGTTTCTCATCAGTTGTTAAATGTCAATTCTTTCGTTTTCAAATCTGAGCTCGGTTGGGGATTTTGGGCTATTTGTCTTCTATTGAAAAAGTTGGAACAAAAGGTTCCTTGTTAAATTTCCATGGAAAAGTTTGGATACGAGAAAAGCTGAATATGGGCCTTGGGATTCGGAAATCCGTGGTTGAAAAGCCATTTTCTCTTCACATATATGATTCCAAGTTTTGAGCTTTTGGTCTAGAATTCACTTCTTTTCAGAGGTAATCTCTCCTTTTTTTTGTTTTTTTTTTGTTTTGCTCAGAGGAATCTTGAATTAGGTAGATTCAGTTGATTTTTGAGATTTACTAACTCATCGTGTAAACAACTCATATCAAAAGTTACTCTCTTTTTCACAATCCTCCTCTTTTTCCTTCATGACCCTTTCTTGGGGTTGATTAAACTTCTCTAAATTGTTCTTCTAATCTCCCCAAAAGTAGCCATGGGACTTGGGAAGTTATTTCTCTACATGATCTCCATATGGTTGGAGATTCTCTTTCTGTCTGAAACCTCCATGGCTAGTACTAGAAGTATTGGCAAAATTAGTCCCGGATATCAAGGCTCTCAAATGAATTGGATCGACAACGATGGCTTGTTTCTTTTGTCCAACAAATCCGAGTTTGCTTTTGGCTTCACTACCACCACATATGATGTCAAATTGTTTCTGCTAGTCATCGTCCACATGAAGACTCGGCAAGTGGTTTGGACTGCAAATAAAGGCTCCCCGGTTTCGAATTCTGACAAGTTTGTGTTTGATGAAAAGGGCAGCGTCCACTTGGAAAAGAGTGGGAGTGTGGTTTGGTCCATAGATACCAGGGGCAAAGGAGCTTCTGCGATGGAATTGCGAGATTCGGGGAATTTAGTTTTGGTGGGTGATGATGGTAATGGCATAATTTGGGAGAGTTTTAATCATCCAACGGATACTCTTTTGTGGGGACAGGACTTTGTAGAAGGGATGAAACTTGTGAGCAATCCGAGCTTGAAAAACTTGTCCTATTTTCTCGAAATAAAGTCCGGCGACATGATTCTCTATGCAGGTTTTGAAACCCCGCAGCCTTATTGGTCTATGGGAAAGGACACTCGTAAGACAATCAACAAAGATGGTGGGGTGGCCAGTGTGGCGTCCATAGATGCAAATTCTTGGAAATTCTATGATAAGAACAAGGTCTTGCTTTGGCAATTTATTTTCGCAGACAACTCCGCGGATGCTAATGCAACTTGGATTGCAGTTTTGGGAAATGAAGGATTCATCACTTTCTCCGACCTTCAATCACCTGGTAGCCCTTCACCGACAAAAATACCAAGTGATCCTTGCAGTACACCAGAGCATTGTGATGCTTATTATGAGTGTTTAAGTGACAACAAGTGCCAATGCCCTTCGGGCCTCAGCTCCCGTCCCAATTGCTCATCAGGCATTGTCTCTCCCTGTGATGGTTCGAAGAGCACGTCTACAGAGCTCGTAAATGCTGGAGATGGTGTCTACTATTTTGCGCTTGGCTTCGTGGCACCCTCTTCGAAAGGCAACTTAAGTGGCTGCAAAACTTCTTGCCAAAACAACTGCTCATGCCTCGCCTTGTTCTTCCAAAACAGCACAAGCGAGTGTTTCCATTTCGATAGAGTAGGCAACTTCCAGAGTTCTGAAAAAGGCTCTGGCTACGTCTCATACATTAAGGTCTCAAGCGACGGAGGAGGCAGCGGCGGAAACGCAGCAGGAGATGAAAGCAGCCGGAAGCACTTCCCATATGTTGTTATAATTGCAATTGCCACAGTGCTTGTCATTGGTCTCCTACTTTATCTTGGTTATTGTTATCACAAGAGAAAGAAAAAGTTGCCTGAATCCCCTCATGAGACCTCGGAAGAGGACAATTTCCTTGAGACTTTGTCCGGAATGCCTGTCCGTTTCAGCTATGGAGATCTTCAAACTGCAACAAACAATTTCTCACAGAAACTTGGTCAAGGAGGCTTTGGCTCGGTTTACCAAGGGGTTCTCCAAGATGGGACTAGAATTGCTGTGAAAAAGCTGGAAGGAATTGGGCAGGGAAAGAAAGAGTTCCGAGCAGAAGTTAGCATCATTGGCAGCATTCATCATCTCCACCTTGTCAGACTTAGGGGCTTCTGCGCGGAAGGAAGCCACCGCCTTCTTGCTTACGAGTTTATGGCAAAGGGGTCTTTAGACAAATGGATCTTCAGGAAGAACAAAGAGGACGATCACTTGTTGGATTGGGACACAAGATACAACATAGCATTGGGAACTGCCAAAGGACTGGCTTATCTCCATGAAGATTGCGATGCAAAGATCATCCACTGTGACATTAAGCCGGAAAACGTCCTCCTTGACGACAATTACCACTCGAAAGTCTCCGATTTCGGATTGGCAAAGCTGATGACACGCGAGCAAAGCCATGTTTTCACCACAATGAGGGGCACAAGGGGATACCTGGCGCCAGAATGGATCACAAACTACGCCATTTCGGAGAAGAGTGATGTTTACAGTTATGGAATGCTACTACTTGAGATCATTGGAGGTAGAAAGAACTATGACCCGAGAGAAAGCTCTGAGAAATCCCATTTCCCATCTTATGCATTCAAGATGTTGGAAGAAGGGAAACTGAGGGAAATCCTTGATTGGAAGGTGGAAACCGAAGTAAACGACAACCGGGTTTCGACGGCCATTAAGGTTGCCTTGTGGTGCATACAAGAAGACATGAGTTTGAGACCATCAATGACCAAAGTGGTCCAAATGCTTGAAGGTCTATGTACTGTTCCAAACCCTCCATCATCTTCTCCATTGGGTTCTCGTTTTTCCTCAGGTTTCTTGAAATCAACCAGTGATGAGGGAACTTCCTCGGGTCCTTCGGATTACAACAGTGATGCCTATCTCTCTGCAGTGCGTCTTTCAGGCCCAAGATAACACATTATCAATATTAGTTGTTCCTCTTAATGGATTTGTTAGTTATTTTACACACTCAATATCTTCTTTTCCTTTTTTTTTTTTTTTGTATCACTAAAAATTTTGTTACAATTAGCAAATCTCCATATATATATATGTATATATATTGCAGCTCTTGTTCAGTTGTTTTCGCGTTATTGCTTGTTCTCTGTAAATAAAGAGTTTGAATATGGATATTAGATCAAACTTTGCTTCTTTTTTTTTTCCCCCCCTCAAAAGAGATTTCCATTGTTAATTTGATAATTTCAAGTGCAAAACCTGCTAAAACATTCCTAATGAACTCGTAAAAGGGGGATCATAATAAATGATTAATAAAGGATGAAGTTGAGAAATTTTTGCCAGTATAAAGAATAAGATGTCATAGTTTTTAAAACTTATATTAGATATAAGTGGAATGAGTGTTGTGTTGAAGAAGTCAACATTTTTTCTCAGTAACCAAACAGAAAATCACTTCCCCAACCGAGTTAGAGTATCAACCTACTTTGAAACATTCGTTCTCTTCACGGATTCGAGTTTTTAATTCGAATTGAGATGTGATATTTTTTGAAAGTTTTTAACTGTAAAAATCTAAAATTGAAAACTCAAATCGGTAAAATGAACGAGCTATTTGCTACGCAATCTGTAGCCATCGGCAAAATCGTACGTGGGATGAATAGAATATGACGTGAATAGTTATAAAAAAAAAAGCCAATGATCTCAATGATCTTTTTTTTTTTTTTTTGACGTACTTCTTATTCAATAACTGCTAAATCAGCCATTACAAAGCAATAACATCAAAATCAACATTGTTCGGGAAACGACATCAATCCTATAAACGACGATGACCATTAAAATGAAAGAAATTAGAGAAACGAATAAAAACAAAAACACAAATAGTAAAACTGAAATAATCCCAAGAAACTGCAATCCACCAAATGAAAATGAAAATAATGTGGAAAAAGAAAAGCCCAACAACAGCGACAACAACCCACTAAACAAGTACAACATTTAAGTTATAAAAATGACAGGAATTGTTTGAAGTTTTGAAAGACCATAACCATAAGAAACAACAATATCTTAGAAATAATTATAAGAAAAAATGTCTTAAAATTGACAACGTAAAAACGACAAACAATTATGAAAGGACATTGAATAAAAATACATTGATCAGATATAGGACTAACTTTAGAAACCAACATCAACAAAATTACAAAATCAAAGATAAAATCTTAAAACGACAATAACCAGAAAAGATGCTAAGAAACGACAACATTTTACAAAACAGCAATATCATTAAAACACGACATCGACATTAATTTCCTAAACGACAATTGACTGACGAAACGACAGAAACTCAAAAGGCAACAAGATCTTGAAAAGTAACAATAACGACAAAAAAAAAACTCGAAGATTAGTACGATAAGGGCCACAACTTGAAAAACGACATCATATACCTTAAAAAACAACATTTTATTGCGAAAAATTTAACAAACAGAGGAAAAGTATTAAGCTTGGACGAACCAATCAGGTCGCTAATGCCTTGAGTAAGAAAACAGAGCTGGCTAAACGACATTAATTAACGAAATGAACATCAATTAGGAAAATTCTAAAAAAACGTGGAAATGATAAGAAATAATAGTAGCTTCAATTATTAGCGAAAAAAATAATAATAGCTTCAATTATGGATAACCTCAAGGTGGAGGACATGGATAACCTCAAGTAATGAGGGGCTATTCGGCAGCTCTTTTTTTTAGTTAAAAAAAAAAAAAAAATTCGAGTTACAATTTTATTTAAGTTCATGTTCTTTTAAGTTTAAACTCGAGTTTGAACTCAAGTTTAGGACTAAAACTCGAGTTCGTTTTCCCTTCAACTTGAGTTCAGAAACTTAAACTCAAATTAATGAACAGTATTTTTTCTATTCTTAAAAATGCTATAACTTTTTCGTTTTAATTCTGATTGAGATGATTTTTTTTCTATACGTTGACAACGAAAAGACGAATAAAACCTCACTCATCTACCCTATTAAAATATTCCATCAACATTGAGTTTTTATTAAAATACTATCTAAATACAAATTTAAGTTTTGACTCACTCAAACACAAACTCAAAAAGATTTTTATCTCAAACTATAACTCAAATGTACACAACTAAATACAAACTCAAGTTATAATTTTAACTTAAGTTATAACTTAAACTCAACTCAAAATTTATACTCAAATCACTTAACTAAAAAGGGTAAAAGAAGAGCCCTTAGACTTTAAAATCCATAATGAACGTTTAAAACGACAGGCTTTGCACGTGCTTCCGGCTACTTGTTTTTAATAATTTTTTCGGCTAATAAATAAAAGAGATTTATAATTGATATGGAATTATTTTGCCAAGTCTTTACCAATTTTGTGCACGTGGGTCGTGAGTCGCGGTCAAAAGACTCAAAACTCCTCTGGTTTTCGCGGTCAATTGGATTTTTCCGTTTTTGCTGCACAAAATTTTTCTTCATTTCCCTTTGGTAAAAAGGACAACAACGTAATTATGTCGAGCAGGATACATAGTTCAGTTTGTAATTTGAGTTAAAATATAATTTTTTATAAGAATTTTTAATTATAATAAAAAAAATTAGATTTAATTTTTTTGAGAATTTTTAACAGTAATAATAAAGCTGAAATTAAAAGGGATGTTTGTTTATTTATGGCTCATTTAGTTCGTTGATTCGAGTTTTTAATTCGAGTTGATATGTGACTTTATGTGAGAGCTTTTTACTGTAGCAAAAAAGTTAGATGTGACTGTTTCTGAGAGCTTTTTACTGTAGCAAAACTTGAATTCTAAACTCGAATCGGTGAAATGAACGAGACGTTAATTTTGAATTATGATTCATAATTTTTTATAGTGTTTTTTTCTCATAAAAAATATACATAAAATAAAAATAATTTTAAATTATGATTTGAATCTATAAATTAAGGCATCGTTCATTTCACCGATTCAAATTTTTAATTATATATTTTTACAGTTAAAAACTTTAAAAAAATATCACATTTAACTTTTTTTATTATAATTAAAAATTTTTAAAAAATATTACATTTTAATTTAAATTAAAAATTTAAATTCACCAAGCTAAACATAAATGTTTACAAAAACTCAAACGGTGAGTGAAACTAGACATAATACTACACCAACGAAACCGCTATGCAATCCTCAACTCAGAGAGCTCATCGAGAGTCGAGCACAGGGAATCCGAAACGCCGGTCACCAAACTTTCTGACACATCTTTTATTTCCCCAATTTGGTATTGGAGAACTGGGAGGAAATTTTCCACAACTTTCCAGCCGAGACAAATTTTCTACTGTAGGAAGGATACTCAAGAAGTTACAAGCTAGCCCAATCAGAAAATCTCGACCGTCCATCACAATAACAATCACAATCACAGATGGCTTCTTCGTCCACTTACTTCTGCCCAGCTCTCATCGCCGCCACTCCACCGTCCTCCTCCCTCCGCCGCAAATTCAAAGTTCCCGCCAAACCTGTCGGCTCTTCAACCCCTTTTTCCCCCAGTTTTGGCGCCACTTCTACCAGAGCCTCTTATTCTCGCCCCAAGACCAACACCGACGATGTTTCCGGTAATATCTCTTATCTCTCCTCCTTCGCACCCGTTCCACGTTGGAGCCTCTTGTTTGGTAGCTTGGAAAATGAATCAAAGTGAAAGAAAGTGAGAAAAAAGTTTTCGGGCCTTTCTCTAGTCTTCTTCTGTTAGTTTATCCGGGAACGAAACAGAAAATTCTCAAGTTAAATTTGAAATTTTGCATTGAAATTGCTCCTCTCTCTCTCTCTCTCTCTGATGCATAATATGTGATGGTCACAGCAGATGAACGTGTTTGGAACAGAAGGGGACTTGTATTTTCCGCTACATTGCCATTCCTTCTTCCTTTTTGCAATTCCCTGGACAACGTTGTTGCAAAAGCAGCAGAGTAAGTTGAACAAAGAAAAGGCTCCCTTTTTTTTTTTCCTTTTTCTTGTTTGTTTGGAAAAAAGCTTCAATTTTTTTTCTTGCATTTTGTCTCAAAGAATCAAAACCCCATTAATGGTGGTGTTCGCCCCCCATTAGCTTTTAGCAATTTCCATTTTCATTAACTTGTCACAACGTTCTTTTGAGCTTTTATACTTAGTTATAAGTTGACACAAACAATGACAGTTGCTATATTTGTGTATGATGATATATGTAAAGGTCAGGCAAAAATGAATATCAGGTAATGAAGGATGAGATTAGGAAAGTAGTCCCAAAGGGCAGGGCTGCTGGTGTACTCCGTTTGGTTTTTCATGATGCTGGGACCTTTGATGTGAATGATAATTCAGGTATCTATTAGTGAGACTCAAGATTATTGTCAACAAATTTGAACCAACACTATTGTTATCTGCTGAGATTTCAGAGCTTTTGCATTATAACTGCAGGCGGTATGAATGGCTCGATTAGATTCGAACTTGAAAGAGCTGAAAATATTGGTCTTAAAGGCCCTCTGAAGGCACGCTCTCTCCCTTTCTCTGCACAAACTTTATGCTGATTTGGTTATTTCTCATCACTAGCTATGTCCTAAGTGGATACTTTTTTTCTTTAGATTGTAGAGAAAGCAAAGACAGAAGTGGATTCAGCAGTACAACGAGGTTTTCATCTTCTGAAAGTGAAGTTAGAAACGGTTTCGGAAGTAATAAATGGTTAAGAAAGGCACACTGATGCGCTTATTTTCAATGATTAGTATCTTGGGCAGACGTGATTGCTGTAGCTGGAGCTGAAGCTGTTTCTTTATGTGGAGGTCCGACAATCCCCGTTGCATTAGGCCGGCTAGATTCAACGTAATCTTGTATAGCGTTGAAGTTAATATTGTGTCAATATGGTTTTTAACATGAATCAAGGGATAAAAAAATCAAGTTCAATTTTCTCTGTGGCATTAAGTTTACGAGTATCAACCAAATACCACTCTGAATTGTTCTTAACTATACAAGAACTCGGTGGTGACATAATTAAAATCTGGTGCTTGTAGGGAGCCTGATCCTGAAGGGAAACTTCCTCAAGAAACTCAGAATGCTTCTGCTTTGAAACAAGGCTTTCAGAGAAAAGGCTTATCGTGAGTATATACATATAGAAAATGTCATTTTTCCTCGTACATGTGTTCTATGGAAAGATGTTATTGTGATCTTGAGCATGGTTTCCTTGATCAAATAGTAATTTCTAGGATTATTTTCATAAATGTGCCCCGAAATATGTATCATATTTCAAAATGCCTCTCAATTTTTTAAAACGACTCAAAACACCCTCTGATGTATAGAAAAATGATCAAGTTACCCATTCCGTCCACTTCTGTCTATAAACTTAACAGGTTTGCTTATGTGACGGGTCATTCGGAGATAATTAGAATAATTTCTAATTAACTTATAAAAATGATTAAATATTAAGACTCAAAAGGAAAAAAGAAAGTCCTGAAAGTTCTAAAAGCTTCTAACCGGTATTCTTCTCTTGGGTGTAAAGTAGTGGAAGCTCACGACGGTGGGGGCTGGCTTGTGGTGGGGTGAGCTCACGACGGTGAAGATTGTACGGGGTGTGGGTTCGCAACAGCGCAGAGAGGCTAATGATGGGAGCTCCATATCGCGACGACCTAGACTTGCGACAGAAGGCTGGTTTGCGATGGGCTGAGTTCTCGACGGCAGGTGGGTTTGCGATGGCGAGCTCAATCTCGCGGCGGCTTGGGCTGTGCGATGGGAAGGCTTCCTCGTGACGGGGTGGATTTGAAGGGGTTGGTTGGATTTTATTTTTTTTTCCTCTTTCTCCTTTGAATTGCCTTGACAAGATTGGGTTGGCTGTGATTTGTGCAAGGTAAGTGTTTGGGTTGGTTGTGATTTGGTCGTGTTTGCAAGGTAAGTATTGATTGTGGTCGTCTGGATTTACTTTTTGGTATGAGCATTCGCAAAGGTAAACCCATGGACTAGAAGCAAATTTGCTTTGAGTTTATCTTAGTACACTAGCGTCTTAAAATGAGAGTTGGTTCTACATGGTATTATGGACAAGAAGCATAATTCTCAATGGAATGAGAAGTAATTTTTTTTTTCTAGATGTTTTCTCAAGCAAAACTGGATTGAGAAGCAAAATTTTTTTCTCTTGAAATTATAGCGTTCTTTTGATCTGCATATTTTTCCAGATGTTTTTCTCTTGAAATTTTTGTGTTCTTTTGATTTGGATATTTTTTCCAAAAGCGTTGAACATCTGGTTTTGCTAAGGAAACTCATGGACAAGAAGCAAACCATGGCTCAAAAATGGTGATTTTTTATAAGTTAATTAGAAATTAATGTCTCTAATTATCGCCACACCAGCAAAACTGTTAAGTTTATAAACGGAAGTAGACAGAAGGGGTAACTTGATATGTTTTCTATACATCAGGGGGTGCTTTGAATCGTTTTGAAAAATCGGGGGGCATTTTGAAACAGGGTACATACTTCGAGGGCATTTATAAAAATAATCATAATTTCTAATCAGATGCACTATATTCATAGTTCGGGGGGGGGTGGGGGTGGTCAGATAAACAAATACAGTCTTTGGATATAAGCATTTATGTTGAGATAAATCCCAGAACTCAGCAGTAAAGAAATCGTACTGTTAAGGAATTAACTCTATCTTGTTATGACTTATTTTTAATTATGCAAGTTGGTTAGTAATAGAATAGGACTGCAACCTATTTTGCTATAACTAACTTGACAGCTGGCTAACCATGAGTGGTTAGAAGTCTAACTCTGATTAGTCCTTAGTTTAGCTTAGTTTATGCAGGAATTCAAACTAGCCGTATAGGGCATTAGTTAGTTTCCTGATTTTGTGGATCTATAGTTACTAGAGATATTATTCTATTGTGTATAGCTGTAATTGACTTTCCTTTAATATTAGATTTAGCTCCTAGAAATCAGGATCAATCTCAACAGATCCTTGTGTATATATATGTACCCGAATTGTTTCTAATGGGATATCAGAAAATTCCAATTCTGTTCTGCTTCATTTTATTTGGAATATAAATAAGCTGTGTAACTGAGAGATTATTATTCATTTCGAGAAAAGACCAAATCACTTCTGTACTCTTTACTTTTGGGATTGAATTTTGGTGAGAGAAAGTAGAGAGAGAAACTGAGAGGATTCAAGAAAAGCTGGGTCAAAAGCTTTGTAATTCTCTGTGTGAGTAGTTTTGTGAGAGATCTTCGAGTGTGTAATTGTTCTTCGTCTGATAGTGGATTTTCTAGGAGGGCTTTCTCCTCCACCTTGGATGAAGGGTTCTCAAAGCCTGAACCAAGTAAATCTATGTGTTTGCTTCTCTATTCTTGTATGGCTCATGGCAAATATTGGTCTTGTCGATCACAAATTGGTATCAGAGCTTGGAATTTAAGTGAAGACCAAATCTGCATCAGCAAGAATCAAGAAGGAAGACCAAGAATGGGTTCCGCAAAGATTGAAATCGAGAAATTTGACGGCCGTGGTGATTTCAACATGTGGAAGAAGAAGATGCGAGCGATTATGGTACAGTAGAAATGTGTGAAAGCCATAGATGGATTCTCAGAAGGAACGAAGGACTCTGACGAAGTAGAGATAAACGAACTTGCCTACAATCTCTTGATTCTTAATTTGTCAGACAATATTCTGAGACAAGCAAATGAGGAAGATGCTGCTTTGAAGGTCTGGGCAAAATTAGAATCCTTGTATGTTAAGGACTTTGTCCAACAAACTTCTTCTTAAGGGACAATTGTTCAGATTTAAAATGGATCCGACGAAATCCCTAGAAGATAACCTTGATGATTTCAAAATCATCACTGTGGGATTGTCAAATATTGGTGAAAAGATTGATGATGAAAATCAAGCAATCATTCTTCTAAATTCTCTGCATGAGCCTTTTAGTGATGTGAAAACCGCCATGAAATATGGTAGAGATTCATTATTCCTGGAAGATGTCTTGGGAGCTTTAAGATCAAGGGATCTTGAAATGAAGAAAAATAAGAAAACAAATCGGGTGGAGAAGGCCTTCAAGTTAGAGGAAGACCAGAAAAGAGAGACCAGTCCAAGGGGAGGAACAAATCCTGATCAAAATCCAAGAACAAGAACCTAAAAATGTGCTGGTTTTGTCAGAAGGAATGACATATAAGGAGATTTTGCCCCAAAAGAAAGAAGACACAAGAAGGAGACTCTCAGAAATCTAATTCTGCAAATGTCTCTGAAGGATATCAAGTGGCAGAGGTTCTCATTGTATCTGAAAGTAATTCTAAGAATGAGTGGGTACTGGACTCGGGTTGCACTTTCATATGACATCAAGAAGAGACTGGTTAAGTGATTTCAAGCCACTAGATGGAGGATCTGTGTTCATGGGCAACAATCAATCCTGTAAAGTGGCAGATATTGGAACTATGGTATTCAAAATGTGGGATGGTTCTATCAAAAGACTTGAAAATATGAGGTTAGTGCCAGATCTAAGAAGAATTTTATTTCTCTCGGCATGATGGATTCGAAAGGTTTCGCCTATAAATCTGAAAAAGGAAACCTAAAAGTTATGAAAGGCTCTCTAGTTGTTCTGAAAGGCAAACTTCAACATACATTCTACAAGGGATTGTTATCTCTGGTGATGCAGCTGTTCTGACAAACAAGACTGACAAGACCTTGATTTGGCACAAGAGGCTTGGACATATTGGCATGAAGGGGCTGACTGAAATTGGGCAAGCAAGGAGTCATTGATTCTAAGAAAATCAGTGCCCTTGATATATGTGAAGCTTGCATCTTTGGAAAATCTCATAGATTGAAGTTCTCTCATGCAACCTACAAGACAAAAGGAATTCTAGAGTATGTACACTCAGACTTGTGGGGATCCTCTAAGGTACCATTCTCACTCTCTAATTTTAAGTATTTCATTTCATTTATTGATGATTTCTCCAGAAAAGTGTGGACCTCCTTCCTAAAAACTAAGGACCAAGCCTTTGAGAAGTTTAGGGAATGGAAACAACTATTGGAACACCAAACTGGGAAGAAAATTTAAGTACTGAGGACTGATAATGGTTTAGAGTATTGTAATGAGGTTTTTTCATATTTTTGCACTCACAATGGTATGGAGAGACATAGGACTTGCACTGAAACCCCTCAGCAAAATGGTGTTGTTGAGAGGATGAATAGAACTTTGTTAAACGAAGTTAGGTGCATGCTGCATGAGTCAGGTTTAGGTAAGAAGTTATGGGCAAAAGCAACCTCTACTTCTTGTTACCTTGTAACAGATCCCCTTCCTCATCCATTGGTTTTAAAACACTTGAAACCTTATGGACAGGAAGACCTCCCAAAATCACACATTTAAGACCTTTTGGCTGTATTGCTTACATGCATCAAAGCCAAGGAAAATTGAACCCTAGAGGTAAAAAGGTTATTTGTATAGGATATCCTAGAGGAGTAAAAGGGTACAAGTTGTGGGTTCTTGATGAGAAAAAATGTGTGATTAGCATAAATGTCATTTTCAATGAATTTGTGTTTTATAAAACTGATCAATCTGATCAAAGGTTCTTTGAGAAATCAGATGAGCAGCATGATTTGTTCACTTTTGAGCTGGGATACCAAACTGATATAAATGTTCAAGCTCAAGGTGGAGCTACAAATCAAGATGGAAACATTGATCAAGGTGGAGATATTGATCAAGGTGGAGAAAATGCTTCTAATGACCAACATTCCATGATGATGATGATGTTGTGAATATGGAGGATACTGACACATATGATGATCAACCTATTGTCCCAGACAATGATCTCACTGATTATGTTCTCTCTCGGGATAGACCCCGCAATGAGATCAGACCACCAGTGCATTTTGCTCATGCTGACATTGTCTCACATGCTTTGAATATTGGAGACACAATAGAACTGGATGAGCCTACCAATTTTGAAGAAGCTTGTAATAGTAAGAACACATCTGATAAGTTACTGGCTATGAAGGAGGAGACGGATTCTCTCATGAAAAACAAGACTTGGATCCTAGTCAAGAAACTAGAGAACAAGAGGATAGTTGGTTGCAAATGGATTTTCAGAAGAAAACCTGGAATCCCGAGTGTTGAACCAGTCAGATTCAAGGCTAGAGTTGTAGCAAAAGGATATTCTCAAGTTGAGGGTGTTGATTATCACGAGGTTTTCTCTCCTGTGGTAAAACATTCTTCCATCGGATTACTACTTTCTCTCGTAGCTATGAAGAAACTTGAACTACAACAACTTGATGTAAAGACAGCCTTCCTACATGGGAATCTTGAGGAGCAGATTTTCATGGAACAGCCTAAAGGTTTTATAAAGAAGGGGACTGAAGAAATGGCGCGTCTCTTGAAAAAGTCCGTGTATGGATTGAAACAATCTCCAAGACAATGGTATAGGAGATTTGACACCTTTTTGCTAGAAAACGGATACAAGAGATCCAAATTTGACCATTGTGTCTACCTTAAAGAACTGAAAAATGACGTGTTCATCTATCTGTTGATCTATGTGGATGCTCATTGCCTATCAAGACAAGGAAGAGATCTGCAAGCTCAAGAGCACTCTCAAAAAGGAATTTGAGATGAAGGACTTAGGGGAGGCAAGAAGAATATTGGGGATGGACATTAAAAGAGATAGGGATAAAGGGTATCTCTCATTGTCACAATATGGATATATAAAGAAAGTTTTAGAGCTGTTTGGTATGAGTGAAGTTAAAGCAGCTTCAATTCCAATTCCAGTTCATATCAAACTCAAGTCAGTGAAAGGTGAACTGCTAGAAGATGAAGTTGTCTACATGAAGTATGTCCTTTACTCGAATGTTGTAGGGAGCTTAATGTATGCCATGATTGGCACTCGACCAGATTATTGCATATGGGGTTTGCCTTGTGAGCAGATTTATGAGTAATCCTTCAAAGGAGCATTGGAATGTTGTTAAGTGTCTCCTTAGATACTTGAAAGGCTCCTCTGATGTTGGTTTGGTGTACAAATCAAGGTAAGGTGGAGCTGTGATAATGGGTTATTGTGACTCAGATTATGCTACGAATATGGACAAGAGAAGGTCAGTTTCAGGGTATGTGTTCACTCTTGGAGGGAATGTGATAAGCTGGAAGTCGAATCTTCAACACATTGTGGCCTTATCAACGACAGAAGCAAAGTATGTGGCATTGACTGAAGCTATCAAGGAAGCTATATGGCTTCAAGGAATCACTAAGGCCTCGTTCACTTCGTGAATTCAAGTTTTCAATTCAAGCTGAGATGTGATATTTTCTGAGAGTTTTTTACTGTAGTAGAAAAAGTTAGATGTGACGTTTTCTGAGAGCTTTTTACTGTAGAAACCTAAAACTGAAAACTCAAATCGGTGAAATGAACGAGACCTAAAGAACTAGGAATCAAGGAGCATACTGATGAGGTTTATTGTGACTCACAGAGTGCAATACACTTGTAAAAAAATCATGTGTTTCATGAGAGAACGAAACACATAGATGTTAGATTGCACTTTGTGAGAGATATAATTGCACAAGAGACAATCAAAGTTGAGAAGATATCAACTTTGGTTAACCCCGCAAATATGCTAATTAAGGCAATTCCTGTCAGTAAGTTTGAGCAAGGTGTAAGCTTGCTCAATATTTTGCCAACTTGATTGTTTTAGTGATTCACAGGCCTCCTAGACAAGTCCATTATCAAATTAGAGTTAAGGTGGAGTTTGTTAAGGAATTAACTCATCTTGTTATGACTTATTTTTAATTATGCAAGTTGGTTAGTAATAGATTAGGACTGCAGTCTATTCTATTATAACTAACTTGATAGCTGGCTAACCATGAGTAGTTAGAAGTCTAACTCTGATTAGTCCTTAGTTTAGCTTAGTTTATTTGGAATATAAATAAGCTGTGTAACTGAGAGATTATTATTCATTTCGAGAAAAGTCTAAATCACTTCTGTACTTTTTACTTTTGGGATTGAATTCTAGTGAGAGAAACTGAGAGGATTTGGGAAAAACTGGGTCCAAAGCTTTGTAATTCTCTGTGTGAGTGGTTTTGTGAGAGATCTTCAAGTGTGTAATTGTTCTTCATCTGATGGGGGGTTTCTCCTGCACCTTGGATGTAGGGTTCTCAAAGCCTGAACCAAGTAAATCTCTATGTTTGCTTCTCTGTTCTTGTATGGTTCTTGGCAAATATTGGTCTTGTCAATCACACATACAAAGAAGCAAGAACTCAAAGGATTGTGCTCTAAAATGGGAAGAAAATCTTTTTTCACACCAGAGAAAGAGCAACACAACTCGGATGATTTTCACTCTCTAATTCAACCCAGAAAATCCATCCCCAAGAGAACATTTTTTTTTCCCCCCCCCCTCCGTCGCTCCTTAGAGAGAGAATCCACAAGAAACTCCCTATACTCGAGCTCTCAGTACTATCACAGCTTTCTCTCCAGTTGGTTATGTTATCACTTTCAACTCACACTCTTTACTATCTATTGACTCTTAATTCATTTTGTTGAGTACTTGAGTCTAGTTACTGTGATGTGTCTTTTTGTGGAAGCGAAAATGACATTACCATATATGCCACACTTACAAGGAAACGAGCATTAAATATGGTTATATGATTAAGTCATAATGTTTTATTCAAGTTCTTCATGGTCCACTTGCTGAAACGTTATTGCCTGTCTTTCTTGATCAGAACCTTGCACATGCGGTGTTCAACCGCAATGCTCTGTGCCTGAATTTCCTGGACTAATTAATGTGCATTGCATATAAACACATTAAAACTTGTACCAGTTACTTTTGTACGCTTCCCCGTTCAACAGGGTATTCAAATTGTTGCATATATATCCAATATATTTAGGCAACAACTACTGTTCTTCTCGATAGACCTTCCATACGATTACATGTCAAAATATAGGTGGTGTAACATGACATTTACTTTATATAAGAACAACTAAAAAATTATACAGTTTCAAAATTGTTGTTACATAAGATAAATATCATGTTATAATCTTCATTCATTCATGTTATGGTATAGGATAGTCATTGGCAAAGGACCAAGGACAAGCCCACTATATTTATTACCAAAATTGGATGATGTCTTGATTAGTTATTTTTGGTTTCGTTTATAGAGTGCAAGATCTTGTTGCTCTATCAGGAGCCCATACTCTTGGGAGTAAAGGTTTTGGAGATCCAAATGTCTTCGACAATTCATATTTCAAAATTCTTCTCGAGAAGCCCTTGAAGTCGGGTAAGTGGAATCGTCCACTGTCCTAACAATATTAGAGGGCCATGATAAAGTGATTATATCTCTTATTCACATGCAGGTGGTATGTCAAGCATGGTGGGACTTCCATCAGATCGTGCACTTGCTGAGGATGATGAATGCTTAAGGTGTGTTTTCCTTGTCAAAATCATTTTAATGCACTTCTTGTTATGTGTATTCTTTGCTTGGAACTTAGGCTCATAAGCTGAATACGTGTGGTATCTGAGTCAACTACTGATTATTAACAAATTTGGATACAATTAATAAACCGGGATATAACAAAGATTTGCTTTTGACCAGTTTAACTATAGAGAAATCCGAATTTTTGCACAGATGGATGACGAAGTACGCCAACGATCAGGACTTGTTCTTTGAAGATTTTGGGAAGGCTTACGTGAAGCTAGTGAATTCAGGTGCCAAGTGGAAAAGCTCGTGATACCATTTTGGAAAGAAAGAAAGAAAGAATATATACCATTTTTCTCTTCTAAATCTGAGTTTCATTTCAGGTCCAGAACAAACCGCATACATATTTATTTAGATGAGAAATGTTAACATCACTCATTCTATTACTTTCTGCGTTCACTCTATGACATGTGAATTTCACTATATCATTTTCTCTTTAAATAATAATATATTATGTTAGTAGAGTACACGTGTCAAACAGTAAATGCATAAATTGATAAAAAGAGTGACAGAAAGAGTGACATTTTAGCATTTCTCTTGATTGGATACAAGAAACATAAGCATACTGATAGCACTTTAGCGCAGTAGTTTTGAAGTTTTGTAGCGCACACTTCAACTTCAAGTGTCTTGCTGGTGTTTCTATAATGTATTAGATGAGACTAGTTGTTTCACGACGATAAACAGTAATATAAACTTTCAATTACCAATACACACATATATATACACGTATAGATACTTGAGAAACTCGTATATATGACTGAACTCGGATAGATTGTAATTAGATAATGGTGTCTCGTCTGGTCAAGTGTTGGAATGTCTTGTGATGGGCCGAGCTTCATGCGGGCCTTGATTTAGGTCCAACAGGCTGAGTGAAAAGAGAGCCCGTAGTTGTTGACATGATGAGGTGGGTTCAACTGTAATAAATGTTGTTTGTTTGGAGCGTGCTTGCAGCCAACATCTGGGGAATTGGCACATCCTGAAGTTCTGCGATATATACGTAGAGAGAGAAAGAGAGAGAGAGAGTTATATTAATTCAAATATCACGTCAGGTTCACCTTCAAGGTCCCAAAAGTGCTAAAATTGGAGTAAATAAGAGAGAGAAAGAAGAGAGAGTTTCAGCCTAGAATTGTCATAGCCTCAGAGGTACCATTAATGTGTTAATAAATGAGAGAGATAGAGAGTAACAAAGATAGCAGTTAGGGCTCACAATACGAGTTACGACGCACACGATTTAAAAATGACACAAATTTTATAAGTTATGATTGAGAAAAAAGAGGTTCGGATTGGGTTGATCTGAAATTAATATAAAAAATATTGGTTAATTTCAGGTTGGACCTGTCTAATCTGAACACGATACGAAATTCGTAAAAAATTAACAAATACGTATGTTTTTTATTAAATATTTTTTATTTTATTATGAATTTGTGATATCATAATAGTTATACTCAAAATCTTATACTATTATTTGTTTAATTTCAATGGATCTTATTGTAATTTAGTATGTTATGAATTTTAAGTTATTTTTAATATGTAAAAAACTAAATAAAAGTATACAATTTTCGTGTCAATTTCGGGTTCACGGGTCATTTTCGTGTCAACCTGTAAAGTGGTTGTGTCGTGTTCATGCTGCAGTTTTTAAAAAAATTCGTGTTCGGGTTGATTATAAATTTAAAAAAAAATGATCAAAATACGATACGAACACGATACGTGATACGAATTGTCATATATGATATGAATTTGGACTATAGAACTGCAATGATTCTCTATTTAAAAAAACTGCAATATCTCTCCATTTTTCTAGTGTGTGATGAAAATAAATAATCTAACGTGTCAAAATAAACTGTCAGCTGTTATTTGATATATAAACTTAATGTTCAGATTTTATACACATCTAAAAAATATAATGTATTGTAGCCTATGCTTTTTGGGGTAGATATATTGGCCAAAAAAAAAAATGAAAGGAAGGAAAATTTGGTATTCTCGAAGTTGGTGCATTCAAGCTGAATTTAGTGAATGTTAAAAAGTGCTAACAACATTGAAAGGAGGATTACGAAACAGATATAGATATTTATTTTAAGAGTTCGTCTCTAGTTTTAAATCATAATTTTTAATTTTCTATAGTATTTTTTTCTCATAAAAAATTTAAATTTTAAAAATTAGAATCATAAATTATGATTTTAAATCCATAAATCAAACGTCTTCTTAATTTCTTAATGAGTAAATAAATATCAAGTAATTTAATACATAGTCTCAGCTCCCAGAAATTATACGAAATTCGTAAAAAATTAACAAATACGTATGTTTTTTATTAAATATTTTTTATTTTATTATGAATTTGTGATATCATAATAGTTATACTCAAAATCTTATACTATTATTTGTTTAATTTCAATGGATCTTATTGTAATTTAGTATGTTATGAATTTTAAGTTATTTCTAATATGTAAAAAATTATATAAAAGTATACAATTTTCGTGCCAATTTCGGGTTCACGGGTCATTTTCGTGTCGTGTCGTGTCAACTTGTAAAGTAATTGTGTCATGTTCGTGTTGCAGTTTTAAAAAAAATTCGTGTCACGGGTCGTGTTCGGGTTGACTGTAAATTTAGAAAAAAAAATGATCAAAATACGATACGAACACGACACGTGATACGAATTGTCACCTCATATATGATATGAATTTGGACTATAGAACTGCAATAATTCTCTATTTAAAAAAACTGCAATATTTCTCCATTTTTCTAGTATGTGATGAAAATAAATAATCTAACGTGTCAAAATAAACTGTCAGCTGTTATTTGATATATAAACTTAATGTTCAGATTTTATACACATCTAAAAAATATAATGTATTGTAGCCTATGCTTTTTGGGGTAGATATATTGGCCCAAAAAAAAAGAAAGGAAGGAAAATTTGGTATTCTCGAAGTTGGTGCATTCAAGCTGAATTTAGTGAATGTTAAAAAGTGCTAACAACATTGGAAGGAGGATTACGAAACAGTTATGGATATTTGTTTTAAGGATTCGTTTCTAGTTCTGAATCATAATTTTTAATTTTTTACAGTATTTTTTTTTCATAAAAAATTTAAATTTTAAAAATCAGAATTATAAATTATAATTTTAAATTCATAAATCAAACGTCTTCTTAATGAGTAAATAAATATCAAGTAATTTAATATATAGTCTCAACTCTCAGAAATTAAAAATTAAAAAGAAAGGGCCAAGACTCACGTGGTTTCATATATTTTGTTAAATAAGAGCACATAATATTATATTATTGTGAAATAATTCAGTAACAATTTTCAATCTGGTGGACTATATAGCTAAACCTGTCTGAACAGGTTTAGTATATAGATTAGTGGTTAATTTATTAAGCTGGTAATTCTGCTAAACTAAACCAAGAGCCAATTACATGCTAATGTTTCCCATAAAAAGAGTCCATCAACTCCATTTTTGGAGCAAAGTATAAATCTTCCAAAAAATCTAGGGAAGCTCGGAGCTAGTTGTTAGTTGCTACTGAAACTGAAAATTAGCTTTACACATGCCCCTTAACAAGGAATTAATGATCCTCATTAGCTGCTAACTTTAATGAAATGATTAGTTGACAGGTATGCTGATCATTCCAAGCATGACTCTACGTTTTGCCATTAATTCAATTAGGTGCATCCTCATTTATGATCAATAATCACTACAAAATACTTTCCCAATTATTATTATTATTTTCTTTTCTTTTCTGTTTGGTTCTTGACAAGTGGCTAAAGAGTGAAATTTGAACTATAAAAGTAACATGTATCTATTATTTGGAGAAGTATCAAGCTAATCATTTAAACATGAATCATGGCTTCGTGCTTGAACTGCCGTGATGGCTGAGATATGTGAACAACCCACTTTGAAAAAGATTCGTATGTCATACGGGGATGTCGTGTGTCGCTTGAACTGCCGTGATGGCTGAGATATGTGAACAACCCACTTTGAAAAAAATTCGTATGTCATGCGGGGATGTCGTGTGTCTTCAAAAATGATCTGAGTATGTCATTTTAAACTAAAAAAAAAAAAAACTAAACTAATGCAATTTTCTTTGTAGAAAACGACGTCGTATCGTAGACAAATGGTGGAATGATTGGATAAGAGAAAGGTGACCTATCAAGTACTAAACCATCAACCTGTTTGGCGAGGAGGATTCTCATCTGTCACTAACTTGAGAAGCTTCTTGTGGATTGGATGGTGTAAACTGATCGGTAATGTCACTTCTATCGCATTCTTGTATTTAGCGTTATCCGATGCTTATTATATTCTTATGAGTTTTGTTTGATGAAGATGTCATATTAATCATTAATGTACGACTTTTTGGATAAGAGACGCAGGTATTCCTTCATGTACTCCGACGAATAGCACCGAAAATAATACATATTAAAGCGAATAAAGCAATTTTGTCTAAACAGTTTTTTTCTACTGAAGAAACAATTTTAAAAAATTAAATGAAGGTTTCTACATGTTTGGATGTATTTTGTATTTTAGGGTCTGTTTAGTTTACTGATTCGAATTTTTAATTCGAATTGAGATGTAATTTTATGTGAGAATTTTTTACTGTAGTAAAAAAGTTAGATGTGACTGTTTCTAAGAGCTTTTTATTGTAAAAAAACTCAAATTTTAAACTCAAATCAGTAAAATAAACGGGTGTTTTCTTTTAAACAAAAAAGTATTGTGTATTTTTTACTAGTGCAAATACATACTATTAGATCACAAATACATGCTAAAATCCTCATCTTTTCTTGATCAACGACAAATTTTGTAAATGAACGGAATATTAGTGAAGAGAAAAGAAGAAACACTGAAAAAAACAAAAACAAAAACCCCTCTAAAATCCATAAAATAAGCCGGAAATTAGACAAAAACAAATCCAACTCTAGCGTTGTAAATCGAATCAGTGGATCTTCATTTCCGCACAGCCCCAGATCGAGCCACCACTTCCGCTACCTTAAACCGGAAAAAGGTAGGCATTACATCATTAATCGTATATTTGCAGTATGATGATGCATATATTTGGTACCAAAACTACGATGGTGCATATTTGCACCAATCGAAAATATGTGGCATACTTTTTTAACAACCTTAAAATGTAGAGCACAAAAATGTAAAACCAAAAAAATAAAATAAAAGATAAAATTAAAAAAAAAAGTGTTTTTTTTTTTGTTAAGCACGACAAGTAGATGTTAGTTCTTCATTTCGGCCAGTTTCGTGAAATGAATAGAGGTGAAATTTTTAAGCCGTTTCGTTTGGGTAGAAATTTTAGCGTGCCTGATTCTTTATTTTTACTAAGTTAGGTCGGCCTTAAAAGAATGAGAGTTAAGCATGCTCATCTTAGAGATCAAGTAAATGGTGTCGAACTTCATGCTG